AGTACGGACTGAGGCCTGGGCTGAGCTGAGGACAATTTCCCAGAGGCCTGATGGTTGTGGGCTGCCAGCCAGTGCCACTTTGAGCAGTTTGAAAATGAGGTTTCTTCATTCTGGAGGATGCTCTCCACCCAGGTTCCTATCATCTCCTGGATCATTTCCTCTGTAGACACGCCCCTCCCCCTACCCAGGGCCTCAGGCTCTCACTTTCTTCTTTAAAGTCTTCTCTAGGAATTTTCTTCTAGATGGAGGTGCCCATGTGCAGATGTGCCAGCTAAAGCCGAATGCCTTCACACCATAATTCCACTTCTTCTGTCTAGATGTCAGGAGCCTCTTGGGCACTGCTCTGAGAAGAATGTGGCCTTCCGGGAGCTTCAGAGCCTTGCAGTTTGGCTCCTCCCACTGTGGGTTTAGACAGATCCCTGTGCCTCCTGGAGCCTTGGGTTCTTCCCCTTTGAGAAGCAGGAACCCTCAGCATCTAAGCATTGAATTGTACTCTGTGGAAACGTGGAGAAGGCACCCAGTAAGTGCTGGAGGCCCCTTCCCTGACCAGTTGCTTGACATTTCCAGTTATCATTCGTCAGCCCAGGGGTTTATAGGTTGGTGTCTGATTATAAATACTTTTTCCTTATTTTTTTCAAGTTTGAAGTCAAGCAGAAAATCCGCAAGAAGGCCCTGTAGTTAGGGTCAGCTCCCAGACAGAGGTGCAGGGATGGAGAGTGGCGGGAACCTGGCAGCCACCTTAGTGTCCCTTACTTGTTCATAGTTAAATTAATGTGGTTTTTCTTATTATTTTCATATCTGAGAGCAACAAGTACCATTTTGAGATGGCTAATCATAACTATGATAAAATTACAATAAACTGATAAAGCTGTTCCAATATTATTTGAAATACTCATATCTGTTTGATGCTCAAAACCCCAAAATGGGCACCACATAAGAAGGAGGCCTGATGTTTATGGCTCTGTTCACTGAGTTTTGACAGTTTCTGATTTGCCACATCTGGGCCCCTAGTTCATGGGACCTTGGGGAAGAAGCCGACAGCTTCTGCCAGACAGTAAGATTTGTAGATACTGGCAAAAAAGTAACCCCCCACAAATCCACATTATTTTGGGATATTGATGATGTGGGGTAGAGTCAGGGCATCAGAGCTGTCCTTCATCAGGCCCTCGTGGGTGTGGAATATCTGGAAGAACTCTGTCAAGTCCAGAATAATGAACAAACATTAGACAAACTGGATAGATAATAAGGTCGTATGGAAGTTTGTGTGGAAGCACAGGTGTTTTCTGGCTAGGTGGAGGGGTGACCTGGCAATGGGTACACCCCTCTTTCACATGACCACGAGTGTTCAGCTGGTGCAGAGATCTTTGCCACTGGGTCCTAAGAGTCAGCTGCCATGTGAGAATGCCTGTAAGTTTGTTCACCTGAACTGCTTCAAGGAAGTTCCTGGGAATCTTTTTTTTTTTTTTTTTACATTAACTCCATCTAAGAAGCTTTAGAGGAGTAAATTGTCACTTCTTTATTAAAGGGGTTAGGAGTTTGCTTGGTTAGTAGATAACCTGCCCTGAGAACACAAAGACTAGAGTTTCATCTTCAGAGCCCAAGTAAGAATGCTAGATGTAAGGTCTGGGAGATGACTTGGGGGACCTGAGCTAAATTCCCCAAAACCTATGTAAAAAAAACTGGGCATGGAGGTGTGTCTGTAACTCTAGTACCGTGAAGAGGAGAGACAGGGGACAAGGCCATCAACCTAGCTCCAGATTCAGTAAGAAACCTTGTCTCAAAGGGATAAAGCCAAGAGTGATAGAGGACACCTGACATCTTCCTCTGGCCTCTGCATGTGTGCATGCACTCACATACGTCTGTCACCATACACACACACACACACACACACACACACACACACACACACACGTATAAACATGTACAAACACACAGATACAGTCTGGCATACAAAGAATAGTAAATGATGTATCTTCCTACCAAGCTAGAGAGGGCTGTGGGTTGGATTCACTGCAAGTCTTTCAACTGTCGAGACACTAAGCCGAGCTGCCCACCTGTGTTTCACTCTATTTTATGTATTCAGTGCCATGAAATTTCCCCTAAGCATTGCTTGTGCTAGATCCCACAACACTGTGGGGCTCTCCAATATGTGGTCCCTCTGGAGGGGTGACCCACACTGAGCAGTCATGAATTACAGTTCATGTTTCTCTACCTGGACACTGGTTCGCATGGTGGCTTCCACTCAGGAGGGTGCTCTGACAAGCCCTACCTACCTCCATGCATTTGCCTGTCTGTCTGTCCAGATTGTATAGTCTGTATTTGCCCTGTGTCCAGCCTCTTTATGAAATCTGCAAGAGCTGTTGGTTTTCGACCCAGCCTTTGGATAGAATGCAGCTCCTTGATGGTGAACCAGAGACCACAAGTTTTCTCTCTACTTTATCTTGCACCTCCTAGCTTGGGATTTTAAAAAAGCCTCCAAGAATGAACCAAACTCTCAGTAAGGAATTATGGGTTAGTGTGTTGCCAAAGGAATTCTCTGTTGCAAGCATATTCCCTAGTGTGGTGATGCTGAGGGATGATGGAGCCTTTAGGGGGAACCAAGGATAAGATGGTTATTCATTCAGATGGACTAGGAAAGCAAAGGAGAGGACTCTGTCCCCATCTCCCTCTCTTTATCTCTGTCTGTCTGTCTATCCCTCTCTATCCCCCTCTCCTCCCCTCTCCCTCCCTCTCTCTGTCTCTGTACCTGTCTGAAAGCACAAGTTTCTATCCTGCCAGCAACTCCCAAATACCCAGCAGCTGCTTCCCAGATCACCACCCAGAGGCTTATATTAATTATAAATGCTCGGCCAGTAGCTCAGGATTATTATTAACTAACTCTTACACTTAAATTAACCCATTATTCTTTTCTATGTTTAGTCATGTGCTTTGGACCTTTTCTCAGTACAACATCCTCATCTTGCTTCCTCTGCATCTGGATGGTGACTCCTGACTCTGCCCTTCCTCTTCCCAGCACTTAGTTTGGTTGCCCCATCTATACTTCCTGCCTGGCTACTGGCCAGTTAGCATTTTATTAAACCAGTTTGAGTGACAAATCTTTACAGTGTGTAAGAGGATTATTCCACAGCCTGCCCCCCCTCTCCTCTCCCTTCTCAGTGTATCCTCCCTCCTAAACATTTGTACTTGTGGGGCTCTCTATCATGAGACTTTCCCCAGAGCCAAGCAGAAGCTGGTGCCATGCTCTTGAGCCTCTTAACTCTTAAACTCTGTGCTCAGCAACCCTTACCCTTCAAAAACCACATAGCCTCAAATCTTTTAAGGAGCAATGGGGAACAGCAATACAGCAAGTGTTAGCTCTCATTTAATTCAGTAGCACTTATTGACTCCTACTGTTTGTAGATGCTAGTGCTTACTACTATAGGGAGCATAGAGAAATAAAAGATATAATATTTGCCTTTGAGGAACTGAAAGCCAACCTCACTTAAGGGTATATTTATGTTCTAATACTTCATCAGGATCTTTTTAAAAAATGACTCACAGTTAGCACATCTGAATAGCATATTTTGCTGATCTGGGATTAACACTTACACCTGAGAAAATTTTTTAGTCCGTGTTAGCATCAGGAAAAGACAATAAACCTAGTTGAATAACACAGAGGAAGTAAATGATAAAAGGGAGAACTTTAAGAAGTCAGCGTACTGACTATCACTGCCTGGCCGTGTGCATAGCTTGGTTCTGAGTTTCTACAAACCCAGGTCAAATGGGCATCAAGAAGGTACAGTTCTAACACTCATTATCAAGAATGCCAACACGTTAGCAGTTCTTCAAGCAGGACCAAGCTTTTCGCATGGCGTTTGATGTAGAGCATGTTGACTGAAATATTAGCCTGGGTAGTTTTACAGGAAACACCCCTGGGAATTTTGTAAAGGTGGCCCACTGCTGATGAAAAGCCACCCAATATGAACTAAGCCCTGTACTATTTAAATCTTTGGGGAATAAGTGGCAGAGGTACTCTTGGCTGGTTGGATGGCTATGTTCTCTACTAGAAATTTCTCTCTTTTATGTGTGTGGGTGTCTTACCTGCAGTACATATATGAGCTACATGAATGCTGGTACCCATGGAGGTCAGAAGAGGGTGTCAGATCCCCCCCCAGGACTAGAGTTACAGATGGTTTGTTAACCACCATGTGGGTGCTGGGAATTGAACCTGGGTCCACTAGGAGAGCAACTGTCCAGCCCCCACCCCATATTTTCTACTCTCATTAATTAATAGGAGTGTTCTGAATTTCTGGTTATTTTTTTTTTCAAGACAGGGTTTCTCTGTCTAGTCCTTGCCATCCTGGAATTCACTCTGTAGCCCAGGCTGGCCTTGAACTCACAGAGACTCGCCTGCCTCTGCCTCCCGAGTGCTGGGATTAAAGGCAGCACCACCACCACCTGACTTTCTATTTTATGGTCACGTCTCAATCAGAGAATATCAAGGTATGGCTATTACTGCTGATGTTCTGGGAAAGGAAGAATTGAGATGACGTTGGGGAGTCAAGGAGAGCCTCGTCACTCTTCAGCTACACTTCTGTGATGCTTTGCCCATTCTTTCGCAATAGTGTCTTACCTGCAGGGACCAGATAATGAAGCACAGAAGGACTTAACTCAGCTGTCTAAAACCTGTCAAGGGTTTGGTGTCCTTAATCAACTCTACACTACATCCTAAAAATAATTTGCGAATACAAAAATATGCAAATAAATTCTAGTGACTAAACAAACTGGACAAGGTGCCAGGAGATACTTGATCCCCACTGTGATGTTCTTTACTTGACCTGTAGTTTGCTCTAATGTTGGGACTACTGTTCTCCCTGCGAGTAGTCTGCCTACCACAGTACTGAGAAATGCATTGGTGTATATACTTTTTCCTAACTGATCCTTTGGGAAAAACACAGATCTGTACTAGTTAAACTCTCCTGTTATTACTTGGATTATTAAAAATAATGGACATAAAAATAATTTGTTGGGCCTGCGCTTAGATGGGTTGTTCATTGTCAGAAGCCCAAGTACTGTAAGCCAGCCTCCTCTCCATTGCCTGCAAGAGAAGCTGGCCTTGTGGATGGCAACCTCCAGACGGTGAAGTTCTGTTCCCTCTGCTCCATGATCACACCAAGGTCTTAATGGTCTGCATCCTATACGTAAAAGAAAATATGCTTTCCAATTTAATTTTTCCTTAAAACCTTTTCCTATTTTTGAGATCCTTGTGCATGTATACAACAAAATAAGATCATATCTATTCCTAATTCCCCACCTCAAGCTCTCCTCATATTCTCCCAACATGCCCCCCTCCAACTTCATGGTTGTTTTTTTTTTTTTCAACAACCCACTAAGTCCAGTTAGTGCTATTTTCATGTACATGGAAGTGAGGCCATGCACTGGAACATGGGATACAGAGCCCTGCACTGGAACACAGCATGTGGGACTGTGCTGGAACATGGGATGTGGAGCCATGCACAGCAACATGAGTTACCAGATGGTGTGAGGAATGAACACCCCTTTCATTCAGGAATGTGATCTATTTCTCGAGGCATATAGGACATGGTTTCCTTACTGCATTTTTTCCAAAGGGAAAGAGACATTGGTATAGTTTAGGCAGACATCTCTTCTGGTTTTTCACTGACTCTTTAGTGCACAGAAGAGATGCTCAGTAAGTGTGTGACTGAATGGGTAAAGGTGTGGAATATAGGATCACATAAAAACAGATTATCTCCTTTATTGTGCTCATGGATTTCCAAAAGGTTGTTCAGCTATCTGTGGCAATGGAACAGATCTTTGGTTATCCTGAATAGATTCTGAGTAAAGGCTAGGCTCATCCTCAAATAGATAGGGAGTTGTAGACAACCTCTGTGATGGATAGCTTAGCTATTTTTTTTTTCTGGCAATCTTATTTTTAAAAATCTCTTGAATCTCAGCCCCCCCATTTCCTCTTACTTTGTACATAGCACATATCTCAAAGTGAAAAGTGGTGCCAAAGGTGCTGCGATTCACACTTCCTGAGTGTTAGCTGCAGTGGGGGTGCCTGGGGGCCGCCTCTGAACATCTGTAGGAAGAATTCCATCTATATCTGTACAAAAAAATGACAAGTACAGGGAAAGACAGCATTGTGTAACAGCATTCTGTCATACCTCTTCATAGTTTGCAGCATCCAAACTCTGCTCTAACTGGAAGATGCTCCATGTTTTAAACGAAGCTGTTGGCCACACCCAAGATAGATCCTTGTACTTGGGCAGCATCTTGCTGGCTTCCAGAACCAGCATCACCATCACCAACTCCTTCCTGGACTAGGGGGATGGGAGATAACAGGTAAATTCTTCTTTAGGACCCCAGAATCTCTCATCTTTTAATTACAGGCATCCAGAACTGTGTCTGTCTGGTGGGGTGGGGGTGGGGCACGTTTAGAAGCCAAGACATGTGAATCACCTTTGTGATCACCTTACCAGCTTTGGAAAGATCATTTAAACTTTCTGAGCCCCCCTTTTTTTTCTGCCCCATACGATGGGAACAATGTTACCTTTTCCCATTTGCTTGTTGTGAATGCTGAATTGCATAAGCAATGCAAACAATTACATTGTCAGATGGCCTTGATCAAACCAAATTACCCACAAAACAAAACCCAAAGTCATGAATCTGGGAGAGGAACTGGGAAGGATGAAGTGTGGGTGGGGGCTGACCGGCATGGGGGAGATACGAGAGGGCGGGGATGGGACAGTTGTCAGGATACATGATATGCATGTTTGAAATGGTCAAATGACAAAAGCAATGGAAAGAAATACATTGCTGTTTCCCATGTGTTGTCTGACTTGATTGGTGAATTATGTTGGGAGTGTGGATGCCTGTGGAGGAGCAGAAATATGGCAGACCTACTGAGGTAGCTGATGCTGGCCACTCAGACGTGAGACTCCTGACTAGCACTGAGAAGGTTATGACTGAAGAATAGCGCCCTTGAAAGTTGCGTGTATGACAATGAGTATGGTCTTGAGAAAAACGTCCTGGAGAATATGAAGATTAAATGGAAGTTTAGGCTACTGGCTCTTGTTTCAGGGAACTGGTGGATGGTTTGATGGAAGCCCATAAAAGCTACAGCTATTGGAACTGATCGTTGTTTTCTGGCAGTGTTGGGAATTAAACTAAGGACATCGCTAAGGATGTGACCTAGCCTTGAGCCACGCCCCTGTCTCTTGTTCTTTTTTAAGGAAGTGGTCGGTCGAACATACTTTAGGGAAATATTAGAACCTGGACATCTCAGGAGGTAACTGGGCTACAGTCAGCTAGGAGGCCATGGATTTGGCTTTAATAAGTTTTAATCACCAAGGAAAGAGTCCCCAGAATCCAAGCAGGAAAGGGTGAGATTTGCTGGTGTGTGACTGCCAAGATACCAGGACTTGAAGTCAAGCAGATCTGAGTTCAAACTCTAGTACATTTTTTTAACCACTAAACACCTCTGTGGTCTCGAACAAGCTTTCTTTGCCTCACTGAGATTTTTGTCTAGGAGTCTATGAAAATATGGATAGTGGGGCCTGTTTCCTGGGGTTGTATAATTAGGTCCCACCTGTGAAGTGAACATACAGTGCCCAGAGCATGGGAAAAGCTGTCACCATCCATGACATTTATTACCTCACCACTGCCTTCCTCCTGTGGGACAGAGTCACGGCCTGATATGCTGCTTACCGGGTCCAGCTGATGGTTTTAATCCTAGTACCTGACCAAAATAGACAGACTGTGAGTGTACAGTGCCCACATTGAAGATTATAGTAGTTCTCTGGCTTTGGAGATGCTGCATTATCTACCTAGCTCGCTGACCTGGGACAGTGGGTATAAGTAGTGTGGTTATGAGACCACTTTACAGGTGAAGGTGTGACGTTTCAGCTCCCACCATGTATAGAGCTCAGTTAGAAGCCAGGTCTTCCAAGAATAAATCCTGGTAATTATGTGTTAAGTGGGTCTCAGGTGTGACTGTTTCCTTGGAATTGAAAACATTTCCTCCTAGTGGGAGGAGGGAGACTCAAGACAAAAGAAGGCAACGCTCAGATGGAACTACCTGCAAGCTGTACAAGGAGGTCCAGGGATGCAGAGGAGGTCCAGGGATGCAGAGGGGGTCCAGGGATGCAGAGGGGGTCCAGGGATACAGAAGAGGCCCAGGGATGCAGAGGAGGTCCAGGGATACAGAAGAGGTCCAGGGATACAGAAGAGGTCCAGGGATGCAGATGGGGCCAGGGATGCAGAGGGAGGGGGTCCAGGGATGCAGAGGGGGTCCAGGGATACAGAGGAGGTCCAGGGATGCAGAGGGGGCCAGGGATACAGAGGAGGTCCAGGGTTGCAGATGGGGTCCAGGGATGTAGAGGAGGTCCAGGGATGC